GTCTATTGCGAATACTTTTGTCTTGTAGGCCCGTTTGTAACAAATTGTAATGTATATTCTGTCAATCAGAGGAGACGTGAGAAAGAATATGTTCAAGAAATTAATTAATATTTTATACTGGACTATGCTTGCTGTTTCACAACTTACAATATACGAGTGTAGTCGTTTTAATGTGATACTTGTTGGGTAAGGTCTAAGAAGAAGATGATGGTAGGAAAACAGACTTTAAAAGTTACGGGTAGTGTTATTTGGAGAAGACTGTATTTACGGACAACACATCATGGTAAGCACTGGGAAATCCTAGGTGCTCATCATCATCATCATCATTTCAGCCATAGTACTGTACATAGGCCTCCCCCAATGCTTTCCATGTTGATCGATTGGTAACGGCCTGCGTCCAGCGCTTCCCCGCTACCTTAACGATGTCGTCGGTCCACCTTGCAGGTGCGTTTTCCGGTACGCTGCCTCCATTCCAGATCCTTTCTGCCCCATCGGCCGTCAGTTCTGCGTCCTATGTGCCCTGCCCATTGCCACTTCAGCTTGCTAATCCGTCGGGCTATGTCAGCGACTTTAGTTCGTTTACGGATCTCCTCATTTCTGATTCGATCTCGCAAAGAAACACCAAGCATAGCCTTCTCCATAGCACGCTGTGCAACTTTGAGCTTCTGTATATTCATATTCATATTCATTTATTGGGCCATCATTATAAGGCCTATAGTGAGGTATCCTAGGTGCTGATTCCAACAAATATGTATATTCTGATTTGTATTCAAGTTTATTCTATCAAGCCTAGCACTAGATAATTTATCTATACTATTACTATATCTATACTAATACTAATATTATAAAGCTGCAGAGTTTGCATATTTGGTTGAACGCGCTAATCTCAGGAACTACTGTCCGCTTTGAAAAAATATTTCTGTGGATTGCCCATTTATCGAGGAAGGCTTTAGGCTATATAACATTTCAAAATATTTTCACGCGTACGAAGTCGCGGGCACCGCTAGTAAAATTTAGGTTGAGTTGCACCACTAATTTTGAGCGTAACTATAACGAAACGGTTGTTTTTTGTATGGAGTTTGACAGATTTTTGACGTTTGTCAAAGTTAAAGTAAGATGGTGCAACCCAGCCTAATATAGGTAATTGCTATCTCGCAGCAAAAATGTATCGCCGTCGACTCTACATTTATTATGCCAGATGGTACGTATGCATGTAGTAGCAGTGACCATAGTTATTTCCTTTGTAGTATCATCTGGGTTCATATGAAAGTCGTCATTACACATGTGGCAATGCGTCAAGATAGAGAACATTGCCGGACAATTGCGTCACGAATGACATGCAATATTGTCTTTTGCGTATTGTAATATTGTGAAACTACCCTTAAAGTAACTGCTTAAAGCGAAGCGCGTACCATTAGAAAGGTATACATATGTGCTACAAAATGCGTGTGTGAATCGAGACGTATTAATTTACTCGAATATTGTAGGTAGGTACTTGTACTCATTACTGTGGAACCATTTAATCAAAAACCTAGAAGTTGTCCAGGAAGTATCTTGAGAGCTGTAGACATAGGCAGGTTCCTAATATTCGCACAAAGCTGTTTTGCGAAATTCTTATATAAGTTTGGAGTTCCCTGCAATCTTCAGGATTGGATAAGATCTTATGATTCTTGAGACGGGTTAAATGCCGATTTTCCGTCAAGGAACATAAGACCGCCGGCGGTTACCTGACTCTCTAAGCTCTTATACCTCCACAATACGTGTTATTTTTGTATGGACATATTTATTTTATAGACCAACAGGGTATAACAATCATTAATACCAACACAAAAAAAACTATAAATTCCATCTTGGAGTGGTCTACTTAAATATGTTTTTACATCATTTTTTGCCCCCTTATTTCATGTTTACGTTATCGGCGGCCATCAACAAGTAGGTACTTACTTGAAATAGATTCTTCCTCTCTTTCCTTCTTCTTATGGATATTTGAAGGGTTAAGGATTTCACTTACTTTGAGGAAAAGTGCTGCAAGTGCTCTGACTGCTATACAGAAAAACAAAAAAATGTTTCAGGCCAAGGGTCCAAAAAAATGAAATAATCATAATGTACAATTGTTCTATTCTTACACTCTATTGAAGTGGTGTAAGTTGCGTTTTGCTTCACTTATTTCAGTAATATTTTTTGTTAGGGTTTTGAGAGAAACGAGAAATGATAAGATCTCTATTTTAGTACAACTTTTTTTATCAAATTACTAAGCCAATTATTGCTGCATGGAGATAGATTGGCACAAAAAAGAAGCTCAACTGATGATGACCATGACATCAAGTCTTGCTTGTAAGTTACAACTTCTGGAAAAAACCTGTATCACAAATTTTACTGTACAGATTTTTATCAACGTGAGCCATTGGATGATCCTTTCAAATTACTGTAGTAAACAAATATGTGTAACATTTAAATAATAAATTTGGCTATTTCAGTGGTGAATGGACGACTATTAATATGTAAATTCCGCGGATGCTTTGTTGCTACAATTGACGCTTAGTGTGTCTTTTGAAATAATTTAAACTGCTTCTTCAAGGTTAACTATAACATTAACTTATTCTGGAACAATTGATATGATCTAGAAATTTTTTTCAGTGTAGAGACCCTACTATTTCTTATTGACAATATTATCTGCTTTAATCATTTGATAATGGACAGTTCTAGACTACTAAAAGATACCTCTCCTCGTGGGGAGAATGCCGGACACAGGTACGGTAACTTTCGAATCGAATTAAACTGAGTTTTGTGTGAAAATATAGGTCTAAATTCTGCCGAATTTAATCAAATATTTTTTTTTAATTCAAATTCTTAGGTTTGAGAATACTCTTTTATTATATTTATACCCACAACACATACATTTACAATGATCTATTACCGAAACAATTTCATCAATATCTCGACCGTAAAAAAAGATCCTCGATTCACAATCACTATGAAAGGTTGTACCACCACTGGGGGTTGCGAAATCGATTCGTGCGCTCGCGCATGGCTCAGTTTGCTCGCTGGCTTCGCACTGACTCGCCACTCCACTCGTTGTGACCTTAGGACGACCTTGGGTGAGTTTACCCTTGACCTTGAGTTTTGCAATGCTGACTAAAGTAGGCTTTATTAGGGTACGCATAGTAATTATGATTTGAATTTCATTTTTTGAAGGCCGATCTTGTGATAGTTTGGAAATAGATTGTTGATTAAAATATTATGTTCTGTATTAATTTTATCAATTTAATACCTAAAATTTAGGTTTTTCTGAAACCTGTCTATATTTTTATGAATTTCTTATAAAAACAGATGAGGTGACAGATGAACTTTTGTGAGAACTTGGTGATTCTATAAACAATTAAAGCATTATTTTAAGTATTACGTGTAAAAGCTGCTTGCGAGCCGAGGGTAGCTTAAAGCTTTTATACTACGAGGCGTCGTAGCGTGGCGCGTAGTATGACTTTTCACTCTTTCAAGACGATCTTTCTCTTCGAACTTTCTTTTTGATTTTGTTTCATTTTCCACGAATTATTATTTACTTATTATATAAATTAAAGTAACGCTTTGACCAAACCATAATTTGTTCGTATAAAGGTCAAGTTGTATACCTTGACATGTTCCTTAGAACAAACGTAATTAGTGTAGTAATCACATTCGGCTTGCGCTATTAAGAGGCTCATATTTTTTTGCATGTCATTTAATATTTTGTTCCTTATGTGACAAAATTAACTGTAAACACTGTTCTTAATAGACCCAATACACTGAACTGCCCCACCTGTGATATTGATAGGGGGGCGCCACCGTCAATACCGGATTGCTAGTTCCGATTTTTGCCATGTTGAAAACTAATAGTTGAACGATGGTGGCGCCCCCCTGTCAATGAGTTTGGTGGGACAGTTCAGTGTAGGTGATCTTATCTTATATCTTTGGAGATGTAACAGCTTTCTCAGGAATTCGTTTTTTACGTTACGTTCTCAGCACTTTAAGTATTTGAAAAAAATAGAACACATTAGACATAGAAATATCTGTTTACCTTAAAGTTTGTTTATTACAAAATCCCATAACAGTGATAAATATTAAAAAAAATTACATAGTTTAAAATATTATAGAACACATTAGATCATAGAGAGTAAACTGCTATAACTTATTTTTACTCAAATAATTGTCCTCTCTATGGATTGTCTGGAAGAAATTAATTATCCTTATCTCGCGACCAGACCACTAGTGATACGTTCCAATATTTCATGTGTGCAATAATGACTATCTATCTATTAAAATAATATTCTAGAATGAATACATTAGATTTAGCAACGAAATAACTACTTACCCAAACCGTTTAAAGTTTGTTTTTATTTGTGGCTTTACGAAAAGCCGGCTCTGACGCAAGCCAGTTTGACATTGACAATTCGTTGAGCCAACGTTCGCTGTTGAATGTATAGATGACCCACGCTGAACTGTCCCACCAAACTCAATGACAGGGGGGCGCTACCATCGTTCAACTATATGGTTTCCAACATGGCAAAAATCTGAACCAGCGATCCGGTATAGACGGTGGCGCCCCACTGTCAATGTCATCGACAGGACAGTCCAGTATTTTGGAACTATACTCGTGGTTGAGTGCACGCGCACTTTTTTGAGAGAATTTCTATTAAAACGCAATTATAGAGTCTGTAATAACTATTTTCGGCCGTTTGGTGTAGTGGTTCAGAACGGACTATTATGCCGAGAGGTCCCGGGTTCGATTCCCGGCCNTTCAAGCTCCGCGAATCTAGACACAATAGATAATAAATTGTTATGACATTAAGTAATGCCGTCTGGGACTCAATCGGTTAAACTTACTTTTAATATTTTAAAGTACTAAACAATCTAGGTATGTTACATGCGTATGTTCAATGAAATAGATTTTAGTTTTTAGTAAGATAAAATTAAATTATGTAAAACGCCTTCACATTTTTAAAAGCAACATATCTAATACTCACGATAAAGACCAGGTACACGGAGTAGGCGACTTGGAATCCATTGTAGACTATCAGCACATTAGTCAGTTTGTACGGCTGTCTTCTTTCCATGTAGGCTGGTAGTAGTTTTACAACAATTAGTAAGTAGATGCCTAATACCATGAACAGTCCAGTTGTGGTTTCCGAAAACGTCCATGTTGAGATTTCGTCTGAAAAGTTTAAAGATCCTATTTTACAAAAAGGAAAAAGGGTAGTTTCACACTCACGCTGACCAAATTTCTATCAGACTATTTTTTAAACTAAATAATATGTAGAAGAAGTAAGCAATAAGTTGTATGTGACTGCACCAGACGCAGACAGTCTGCCAACAGAGAGAGATGGCGGGAGATCGTGCGGAGAGTTGTATCCGCCTCTACAACCGATGCAAACAACGCCTCAACGTGACCACGACCGCTCTGCCAAGAGCGTAACGAATAAGAAGAAGAATAAGTAGATAGAAGTTTTAAAAGCTGGTGTCAATGGATTGTACAACGGCCGCAGTTCCAGCTACCTATTTCATATAGTCTTGTTCTATCGCAAAGAATCACTATTAGATGAGAGCGAGAGAAAAACTGAAATGCGTCGCTTCAACTATGACCTATAGGTGCGTTACAAAATTGCTATATAATGTAATCTTCTGTGTGATTCTTTTCATCACCAGATTATAGAACACAGATAAATATAGGAAATAGGGTTTTTTAAATTTCTTTCATTGAATTATTTTACTGACAAAGCCACTCTTGTGGCGGAGTTTTGGGCTGACACTGTGTAGGTTTGTTGTCGACACGAAAGAAGAAGAAGAATTGAATTATTTTAAGTACTTAACTAATCTTCAACCTTTCTAACAAGAAATTTTTCACTTTGACAAGGGTAGATTACTAAATCTTACCCTTAGCACTTTCGGTAATAATATCTTCCACAATTATTTTATACCCCGCACCCATTTTTTCACTAATCTAATGACTCTACAAGAACTCAGCACTAAATGTTGGAAACTAAAGTAATGAAAATAGAATAAATTACAATCAATTATGGAGCAGTGGGACTATTTCTATTGTATTCAAATGAATTTTAAAATTACAAATATGTAAAGCAAAGGGGATTATAAAGTTTGTCTGTTTATTGAGTAATTAATTATAGGATAATACGTCAACACTAATTGCGGTTAAAATTGGGCTGGTAGCCACTAATTACCATTATTAATGGAGTTACCCCTGCAGACCAAGAGCTAAGCCAATATTTAGGTTTAGTTTAGCTCATAATAGCTGACGCAGTTTTCAATTGGGTTTGCATTAGAGTGCGGTTTGCACTCGACTATAATATCTATGTAAAAAAAGTACGTTAGATATGCGAGCTAAGCTTTTAGCTTAGGTTTTGGTCTACATCCCGTATTAACGTCAAAACTTATGCATCAACTTTCAATGTGGAAATAATTTCATACAAAATTAATTAAAACGAGGAAACCCTTTAAAAGCAATATGTGTCAGTCTCATTAGTAGCCGCCAGACATTAAGAAATGCAAATAGGTTAGAAACTTATGCTAATGCCCTATATTATACCAATACAAATAATCCGTATTCGGACTTCCTTGGTAGATCGTCTGGTAATTATTAATAATAATAATTAATTTGATGTATTATAAAATTAACCACGAACAAAGGAATCAATTTTTCATACAACAAATGGAATTAACCCAATTTTCTTGGATCTCGAAAAATTGAGGTCATTTTATTTCAATTGATATTGATTTATTCCTTTACTTCTTGTTTACTTCATTCTACTTCGATGAATAGCATAGCATGAGCATTACTCGCTAGAGAGTGCGTCAAAAAAAAATCTATGAAGATTTTAGTTTTTTAAAGTAGCCGCTAGAGGCGTCCGTCATACATTTTATGTAATTTTTAACGCAGTCGCTAGCGAGTACACCTAACATAAACTCATGGTAAGTACACCGTTTATTTTAATAAAAAAAAGGCAAAAAAGAATGACAAATAAAAAAGTACAAGCATCATCATAACACGCGCAAATACACCAGAAGTAGATTTGCTCAACATTTTGAAAAGGCGCTTCTCGGACTCATGAACGCCTGCTAGGAAACTACTGACGCACACAATATTTTAAAAGATTAACTTTACCACGAACTTAATTACCATCGTGCAAACAAAACGTTATTAATTTTAAAATGTCATCTTAAATGAAATGTTTGGAGAATCAATATTTTATTCCATGTGCTATTGACCAAAGAAGTTCTGTGCCTTTTGCTATTTCTTTAGTCTTTTCTACTCTATAATCTATTTTTTTTGTGATTTTGATAAATCAACATCATTGTACTGGTACAACCAGTAATGGTTCCACTAGTGCCTAAGTTTTCCATTCAATTCCAATCCACACAGTATGTAGGTAACATGGCTAAGTATTGAGAAAATCTGCGTATAAGAAAACTTCGCAAAAGCTGCTTAATTTATTAGCTTATCGCATGGCACTCACCTAGTTTTCTTGCGAATTTCCTCAGATCGGTTGGAAACGTGTAAACCGCTCGGAAAATGCACCGAGTGGAACATTGCACTAATAGGGTGACCAAAATTTGTGCATAATAAATAAAAACCGGATAGTTACCAGCATAAGGGGTTGTAAGAGGCATTTTATCAAATACTGAAATAATAATTTCAGACGGCTTTTCATTTTTTCTAAAAAATGAGAAAATTTTCGATTTTGTAACCAAGGTTAAGGTTCTTCCAAGGAAGATTATAATTAGAATAAGTGAAGTGAGAAACTAAATATTACTACTCACTTTAGATATCTCCAGAATAATTATGTACCGAGTGGATCATAGCACTAATAGAGTGACCAAACTTTATGCATAGTAAAGAAAAACTGGATATTTACCAGCGTAACAGGATATAAAAGGCATTTATACAGACTGGAATATTAATAACATGCTTCTGCATCGATTTTCCCTAAAAAACGACTAGACCGCATTTTTTCTGGAAAAATTTCGATTTTGTCGCTTTGAAAGATAAGATTAGAATAGGTAAGTTCTACTAGATTTTACTACTTATTTTAAATCCAGAAAATGCACCGAGTGGAACCAAACCAAAGGACTGAAATATTAATTACAGACCATTCTGAACTGAAAAAGAAAACGTAAATTTTCCCATCCATTTTGTGACCTTGGAAGTTAAAATTTTAGAATATGTAAATTTTATACTAGGTAGGTAGGTACCTACTTACTTGATTCAGATCCAATTCCAAATCCACAATTTTGTACCTAACTATCTATTGCATTGTATATCTTTTCATAAATGTACAATATTAGCGTACACACAAACCATGGTCACCGCACGTTCAGACGTTTTTTGCAGCAATCACCTCCCGTGTCAAATCACTATAGAATTGCGCAGCGTTTGCGCATCCAAAGAAAATAAAAGGTTTTAACTATTACACTGTTGGTGGGACTTGTCTATTGCGAATACCTACTTTTGTTTTGTAGCCCGTTTGTAACAAATGGTAATGTATATTCGGTCAATCAGAGTTGAAACGTGAGAAAGAATATGTTCAAGAAATTAATTAATATTTTATACTGGACTATGCTTGCTGTTTCACAACTTACAATATACGAGTGAAGTCGTTTAAATGTGTTACATGTTATGTATGGTCTAATCTCTTGAGATTATTTACATTTTTCCTTCGGAATTTCATAGAACAGCGAGCGTTTGTAAACTGACGACGCCGTTTTTAAAATGCGGAATCATACAATTTGCCTGCGACAGATAGACCATTTATCATCATTTTAGTCGGCCGTTTGGTGTAGTGGTTCAGAACGGACTACTATGCCGAGAGGTCCCGGGTTCGATTCTAAATTAAAATGATGAATTTTAATTTCTGTGACGGGTCTGGGTGTTACTATTATTATTTGTTTGTATTTACAAAAAAAAAAAGTATTTAAGTATGTTTATATTCGTTGTCTTGTACCCATAGTACAAGCTATGCTTAGTTTGGGACTAGAGGCGCAGTGTAAAAATGTACAAGGATATTCATCGAGGAAGGTTTAGGCTTAAAACATCACCGTACAGCCAATAGGGGCGGAGCAGTAAAGGAAAATGTTGCAAAAACGGGAAATATTATTCGAAATACATATTTTTACGCGTACACCGCTAGTAACATTATTAATAGGTAGGTAGTTGCTATTTCACAGGAAAAAATTGTCGCCGTCGACTCTACATTTATTATGCCAGATGGTACGTATGCATGTAGTAGCAGTGACCATAGTTATTTCCTTTGTAGTATCATCTGGGTTTATATGAAAGTCGTCATTACAGTGTGGCAATGCGTCAAGATAGAGAACATTGCCGGACAATTGCGTCACGAATGACATGCAATATTGTCTTTTGCGTATTGTGATATTGTGAAACTACCCTTAAAGTAACTGCTTAAAGCGAAGCGCGTACCATTAGAAAGGTATACATATATGTGCTACAAAATGCGTGTGTAAACCGAGACGTATTAATTTACTCGTATATTGTAAGTTGTACAGTACTACACTTGGTAGTAGCAGGCCTGTTCATCTCCGCGAGTTTACATCGAAAACAAAACACGCACGATGGCCCACCTACAGGATACTATTCGACAAGGCCTCACATACGAGCGAACATTGACTCACGCACGCGTATTCTTGTGTATGATGGAAGAAAATAAAAAAAATGGTGTACTAAATACTGTGCAGTATTTAACTTCCTAAATAATAATAAAGACACAGAATGTTCCTTTTTAAGTTGCCTCAAGACACTGAGAGGTAAATAAGTAGAGTTAATATTATTCATGATAATTCATGCTAAATCATGTATTTCCTCTGCCATTTTCCGCAGTTTGGCACCTCACGTCAGATCATTTTACCGAAGTCAGCCCTATAGCTTCGGCGCAGTGCCGATCACTGACATTTGTCAACAAAATGGTGCTTGACTCTTGAGACAGCCTAAATTACACCATATTGTTAATGACATTGAACATACATTTTTTTAAATACCTTCGCGAAGTAAAACTTCTGTACGTAGTACTTATTATTATTCTGTGGTAGTAGTTGTACTCATTACTTTGGAACCACTTAATCAAAAACCTAGAAGTTGTCCAGGAAGTATCTTGAGAGCTGCTGTAGACTAGGCAGGTCTCTAATATTCGCACGAAGCTGTTTTGCGGGATTCCTATAAGTTTGGAGTTCCCTGAAATCTTCATTAAGGATTTCACTTATTTTGAGGAAAAGTGCTGCAAGTGCTCTGACTGCTATACAGAAAAACAAAAAAAAAAGTTTCAGGCCAAGGGTCCAAAAAAATGAAATAATCATATCGTACAATGGTTCTATTCTTACACTCTATTGAAGTGGTGTAAGTTGCGTTTTGCTTCACTTATTTCAGTAATATTTTTTGTTAGGGTTTTGAGAGAAACGAGAAATGATAATATCTCTATTTTAGTAGAACTATTTAAATATCAAATTACTTACTTAGTCAATTGTTGCTGCATGGAGATAGATTGGTACAAAAAAGAAGCTCAACTTATGATGATCATGACATCAAGTCTTGGTTGCTGGAACAAATCTGTATCAAAAATTGTACAAATGTACAGATTTTATCAACGTGAGCCATTGGATGGATCCTTTCAAATTACTGTAGTAAACAAATATGTGTAACATTTAAATAATAAATTTGGCTATTTCAGTGGTGAATGGACGACTATTAATATGTAAATTCCGCGGATGCTTTGTTGCTACAATTGACGCTTAGTGTGTCTTTTGCAATAATTTAAACTGCTTCTTCAAGGTTAACTATAACATTAACTTATTCTGGAACAATTGATATGATCTAGAAATNTCCCGGCCGGGCAGAAATTGAAATGATGAATTTTAATTTCTGTGACGGGTCTGGGTGTAAATATGTATAATATGTATGTATTTAATAAAAAAATAAAAAATAAAAGTATATA